GTGCTGACAGCTCAGAGCTTGAAGCCTGCTTCTGATTCTGTGTGTGTCTCTCTCTGGCTCTCTCTCGTTCAGGCTTTGTCTCTCTCTCAAAAATAACTAAGCATAAAAAAAAAAAAAAAAAAAAAAGAAATGCAACATCTCTGGCCCCACCCTAGACCTACTGTATCTGAATCTGCATCCTTACTAAGATTGCCCAGATGGTTCGTTTGCACATTAAAGTTTGATAGCATTGGACTTGGGGGCTCGAAGAGAGTAGAGAAAGGGAAGTGCATAGAGTTGATCAGAGGCATGCAGAATGGCCAAAGAATGGCACTTGAGCTTGTATACCCTAAGTATCTCATGGTCCTGCTCCCCACAATTGTGTGATTTTGTACAGTAGCTCTTGAGCAGCTTGATCATAGGAACAAAGTCCTAGACTGAGGTTGACATGAAGTCATGTCATGAAGTCATGACATGAAGTCATGTTAGAAAGATAAGAGATTCAGTTGAACATGTAGTTGTGGAATGGCCAAATGGTGCAGAAAGAGGTGTAGACTGAATGGGGGGATGGTGGCCACAGAAAAAGTGGGTGGGAGCCTGAATATTTCTAGTAACTTGAAGCAAGTAAAGTGGGAGAAACAGCTACATGGAGGAGTAGTGGTACTGGGTTGACCCAGTAGTGGTACTGGGTTGACTGAGGAAGGATCTGCCCCCATGTTCTCTGGGTCACTGGCAGTTGGCTTTCTTTGTGGCTGTAGAATTCATAGCAGCGGTCTCTTTCAAAACCAGCAGCAAACTGCTTCAAATCCATGACCCCTAGAGTCTCTTTCAAAGAGTTTGCCTGATTGGTCAGTCCCATCGATGAGAATCTCTTTTTTGATCTTGAAGTCCACTGATTAAGGCTGTGATTACATCTGCAAAATCCCTACCTTTGCCATAGAATGTAACCTAATCTAGGAGCAACATCCCCTTTGTCATATTCTACTGGTGGGAAGCAACAGGTTCAGCCCTCACTGAAAGGGAAGGGATTGGTTGTAGAAGCTGTAACTTACACAGGTCGTCTTAGGTGGGTGTCCACCACAGACTGTGAGAAACCCGGCTCTCATTTTCTATCATACATTCACTGTTCAGTCCTGGTATACACATAAAATAATGACATAATTGCTATGTCTCACTGCTATGTCTGTGAGAAATAGATCTACTAATTAGAGCAGGGTATTTGTGCAGTTTTGTCCCAGCTTTACATACCTGGTCAAAATACTGACTTCCTGTTGCTTAGTTCTCCCCCGCCCCTTTCCTTTCAGTGTGGTTATGTACTCATTTCTAATAGGTTCAATTGCCCTTGCTTCACTTTTGGGGTTCTTCCTCTCCTCCAAACACCCTGGTTGATTTTCATTTTTTATTGGGAGGTATTGGAAGCATTTCTATGGTATTTATTTATTTATTTATTTAGCATTTCTATGGTTCTAAAAGCTGAAGTTGTACAAACGGGGATGCTCAGAGAAATGAGGCACTCCTCATCCTCAGTGATCCACCTCCTCCCTTGTGTCCAACTCTTTTTTACCCATCCTCTGTAGGTGACCAGTCTCTTTAGCTTCTGGCTTATTCTTCCAATATTCCACACAAATAGATATGTGTTTTCTTACATTCTTTCTTACATGAAGGGTAACTTACTATACTCTTTTGCACTTTGCTTTTTTTTTTTTTCATTTAAAAGTCTCAGAAATCAATCCAAATCAGTTCGTAGAGGTTATCCTCATTTTTTTTTTGGATTGATATGCATAGACCTCCATTGTGTGGATGTGTCATAATTTTTCCTTCTATTTTTAGCACTTAATATTTTATTTATTTATTTATTTATCTATGTACAAGTTAGTTAATATACAGTGTAGCCTTGACTTCAGGAGAACCCAGTGATTCATCTCTTACATATGATACCCAGTGCTCATCCTGAAAAGTGCACTCCTTAATGCCCATCATTCATTTAACCCAGCCCTCCACACACCTCCTCTCCACCAACCCCTCAGTCTGTTCCCTGTATTTAAGAGTCTCTTATGGTTTGGCCCGTCTCTGTTTTTGTCTTATTTTTCCATTCCTTCCCCTATATTTATCTATTGAGTTTCTCAAATTCCACATACAAGTGGAATCATAGGATAACTGTCTTTCTCTGACTTATTTTGCTTAGCTAATACCCAATTCCATCCACGTGTTGCAAATGGCAAGATTTCATTCTTTTTCATTGCCAGGTAGTATTCCATTGCATATATGTGTCACATCTTTTTAATCCATTCATCAGTTGATGGACATTTGGGCTCTTTCCATAATTTGGCTATTGTTGATAGTGCTGCTATAAACATTGAGGTACATGTGCCCCTTTGAATCAGCATTTTTGTATCCTTTAGATAAATTCCTCGTAGCACAATTGCTGAGTCATAGGGTAGTTCTATTTTTAATTTTTTGAGGAACCTCCATACTGTTTTCCAGAGTGGCTGCACCAGTTTGCATTCCCAGCAATAGTGCAAAAGGGTTCCCCTTTCTCCACATCCTCTCCAACATCTGTTGTTTCCTGAGTTACTTTTAGCCATTCTGACTGTTGTAAGGTGGTAGCTCATTGTCATTTTGATTTGTATTTCCCTGATGAGTGATGTTGAGCATCTTTTTATGTGTCTGTTTGCCATCTGGATGTCTTCTTGGGGAAAGTGTCTATTCATGTCTTTTGCCCATTTCTCCACTAGATTATTTGTTTTGGAGTGTTGAGCTTGGTAAGTTCTTTATACATTTTGGATACTAACCCTTTATCTGATAGGTCATTTATGAATATCTTCTCCCATTCTGTCGGTTGCCTTTTAGTTTTGTTTCCTTTTCTGCTCTTTTTGTCTTAATGAGGTCCCAATAGCTCATTTTTGCTTTCATTTCCTTTGCCTCTGGAGACATGTCAGGTAAGAGGTGGCTGCCTGTTTTCTCCTCTAGGATTTTGATGGTTTCCTGCCTCACATTTAGGTCTTTTCATCCATTTTGAATTTATTTTTGTGTATGATGTAAGAAAGCGGTCCAGTTTCATTCTTCTGCACGCTGCTGTCCAGTTCTCTCAGAACCATTTGCTAAAGAGACCTTTTTCCATTGGATATTCTTTCTTGCTTTGTTGAAGATAGTTGGCCATATATTTGTGGGTCCATTTCTGGGTTCTCTATTCTATTCCATTGATCTTTGTGTCTATTTTTGGTGCCAGTATCACAATGTTCTGATTACAGCTTTATAATACAGATTAAAGTTCAGGATTGTGATGCTTCCAGCTTTGGTTTTCTTTTTCAGCATTACTTTGGCTATTTGGGGTCCTTTGTGTTTCCATACAATTTTTAGGATTGTTTGTTCTAGCTCCGTGAAGAATGCTAGTGGCTTTTTTTGATAGGGATTACATTGAATGTGTAGATTGGTTTGGATAGTATTGACATTGTAACAATATTTTTTTCTTCCAATCCATGAACATGGAATATTTTTCCATTTCTTTGTGTCTTCTTCAATTTCTTTCATAAGATTTCTATAGTTTTCAGTGTACAGACCTTTTACCTCTTTGGTTAGGTTTATTCCTAGGTGTTGATGATTTTTGGTGTGCCATAATATTTTCAATCATTCTCCCCTGTATAAGGATTTAGGTGGTTTTCAAGATGCTGCATTCACAATGCTGAAATGAATAACCTTCTGGTAAGTACAAAGGAACTAGATAATCTTTTTTATTTTTTAATGTTTATTTTGAGAGAGAGAGAGAAAGAAAGGGAGGGGGAGAGGCAGAGAAGGAGAGAAAATCCCAAGCAGGCTCTGCGCTGTCAGCATAGAGCCCGACTTGGGGCTCCATCTCATGATCATGACCTGAGCCAAAATCAAGAGTCAGATGCTTAAACGACTGAACCACCCAGGCACCCCAGGAGCTAGATAATCTTAAGCCACATGTCAAACTGAAACTTTGACATGCCCATCCCCACAAAACACCTTCACTTCTAACTTACCTTACAGACTCCATGTAGTCACTGCCTTTGAGATGTGATGGAGCTGCTAGATACCTCAGTCACTCCTTTACCTTGTTAAGTAGGCCTGGCAAACACTTCTCAGCAATGACTACTCACCTGCTGTTCCAGGGCTGGGTCTTTCATTTCAAGATGCTCTTTCCACCTTTGGGGTGACCCCTTTTCATTCCCAGTCGCAATCTTTACCTCTCAGCTCAGAGTCTCAGAAATGATAAAGATCTGTCTTGAAATAGGCTAGTTCTAGAATGAAGAGCTTCCTCAAGGATTCATTAACATGGGAGATATTCTTTGGGTTGTCTGAATGTTTACTGGCCTAATTAAACTAGAGCTCCACAATAAGGGTATTAATGGACACCAGGAATGTTCATATTGCCCTAAAATGTTTGCATAAGCTTGTGTCTGTATTTAACTGGGAAAGAGCCATTGAGAATTCACCAACCTAGCTTTACAAAGGCTAAGAACTAGTGTATTAAATTCTGTATTAAATTCTCTATTTGGGGACACCTGGGTGGCTCAGTCAGTTGAGCATCTGACTTCAGCTCAGGTCATGATCTCACGGTTTGTGGGTTTGAGCCCCGTGTGGGGCTCTATGCTGACAGTTTGGAGCCTGGAGCCTGCTTTGGATTCTGTGTCTCCCTCTCTCTCTGCCCCTCCCCTGCTCACGCTCTGTCTCTCTCTCTCAAAATAAATCAACATTAAAAAAAAAATTTTTTTTAATCTGTATTTTTTTTTTTTTTTTTTTTTTTTAGACACAGATTGGTCGGAAGGAAAGGTACTGGCTGGAAGTCATTCTCAAATTCATGTTCACTTAAATGTTCATGCATTTCAGGTGAAAAATTTTAACATACTAATTTTATACAAGTTTCAAAAACAGTATTTAAAGTGAATAGTAAACATATATTCTGGGCAAGTAAAACTAAACAGCAAGTAATTTCATTCAGTTGTATCTAGTTTTAAGGCTGATGACCATAAAGATAAAATAAGAGAATCAGACGAATGTGAAGTTAAAGAACATTTTATTTACTGACAGATTAAAAACCACAACTCCAAGTAGTGCAAAACGCACCACTGTACTCAATTACAAAGAACTGATGTTAATACACAATGTTTAAGCAATGCTACACTTATTTTTGGCAAAGTGCTGTATTGTTTAGTCTGTGTATAAAACTGACCATCTATGAACCAATCAGTATAAAAAATTCTATAAAAACAAATTTAGACAGTGGCTCAAGAAAACAAGCTGCCATTTATGCATAGATGATGTACAGTATATAATCTAACCAAATGTCCCTTTTGAGTTTTCAAGTTGAAAAAAATTTGTGTTTAGGAATACATCAAGAAGGCACATAGTACAATCTACAATACTCTTCAGTCTCTATAACTGATGCCCTGTCTTTGAAAAGCAAATGTGTTCACAATTTTACTTGAGACAAAAAAACCAAGCCACTCAAAAAAATAATAACAACACACAATTATTGATTAAAATTCCAAACTTCTGGAGGAAAATGCAACCAAAAAGCAAGCAAAAACCACTCATACACATCAAGCTTAGATACACACACACATCTAGCTCCCCAAGTACTGATTTGGTTTTTAGAAGTCCATCTAGAAAACAAATACTAAAACTTCAGGCAAATACAGAGCAAAATGGGGCATTTAACAATTATACAATTAAAAAAATATGTTGTAAGGAAAATTCTAAACGATATATAAAACATCCACTGAAGCTGCCTTCCTTTGAATAGTAACCTCTCCTCCCCCATAAAGGATACTGTTGCAAAGAGAAAGAAATATCCTTATCTGTATGCTTTCCGGTCCCTCTTTCTCCACCCAAAACCACTGTAATTGGTGTCATATTTCAAGTGAAACTGGTACATGGCAAGGCTGACACCACCGAATTAGGTAGGTTTCCTAAATAAAGCATTTCATATAAAATTTTCAGCGTTAAAATAAGTAGATAAGGATGCCATTGATAATGCATCAACATGGCTGATGACAGTGAAGCCATCCATGAGAACAGCCCAACTTTTAAAAGAATTTAGCCAGCATGAATGGGCATTATAAAATGAAGATAGTTTTAAGGTAACATTACAAACATGCTAGTGTCTCCAGTACAAGGAGCAGTCTCTTAACCGATTCTAAAAACAAAGATACTTGGAAACTCTTAAACTTTCTCCACTAACCTATTTAAACTTAAATGTTTGTCTTCTAGTTGGAGTCCTTCATTTTTTTGTTTGTTTGTTTACAATTCAAAGAAAGACAGGATAAGAAAGACACTCTTTTTTGTTCTTTTTTTCTTAAGATATAAAAAAGACAATATATTTCCTTGAAGAAGAGGATAGTGAAAACACTTAGATTCAATGAAGATGTAAAGATAACAAACCAGTGTACTACATAGATTTGAGAAGGAAAAACAACAGGCGATGCTGAACGCCCTCTCAAGTTTTCAGTAAACTGTGTTCTCACTAGAATCAAAGCACTGATAAAACAGAGAAAGTATGTAAACAGGAACAGCCTGCATGGGAACTGGGAAAATGTACAGGAAATTAATGTAGAAAGAGCTCGCTGGAGTAGAAAGTCAAAAATCCAATCACTGTGAACCTTTCTGTAAAAAAAATCCCCCACCTGCCCGGCCATATAAATGCATTGCCACAGAAGATAAATAATGCAGGGTTAATCTTCAACTCACAGTGCAATACAATACATAATTAGTGGAGAAAGAAAAAGTAACAAACATAGAATACACATCATAAAATGTTTTATTAATGAAAACACAAACTTTGAGAAACACGGTGCGTTATAAAAACTAAGGGACTCATCCATGAAGCACTCCTTGTGCACCACACATTCCAGACTTTTTCCAAGTAACGTTCTATATATTATCAGTTTAGAAGTAGAGCATTAAATTCGGAGGGGTCTTATTTCTCACTGCTTGAATTTTTAAGAAATATGCACTGAAGCACATTTATGTAAACCACTAATATTTACAAGAGCAAAAATAATAATTAACTTATAATAAATTGCATTTTGGCCATGTTTCAAGGAATACTTAACAGGTCAACATCATCCTGGTACCACACGTAGTAGATGCCTAACAAACCCCTAATGACCAAGAACTTCAAATGAATTACGTAACCACTTTCTTCCATTCTAACATGTGCCAATTTAAGACAGAAAACGTAGATACTGATACAAAAACCACAGTATGATATGACAGATGGCATGATAACCCTAAAAAAAATCCCAAGCCTGAAAGTATTTGTTTTCCAGGTATAAACCATAAAAAACTAGGTCCAGAGAAGGCCAGAAAAAAAGTCAATAACTGACAGAGATGTAGATGTATTTCAGGTATCGGGAAATTTGAAAAATAACATTAAAAAAAAAGAAAAAAGAAAAGAAAAGAAAAGACCCTAGCTATGTTATACACAAATCTGTTCATGCTGCCAAACAAATTCTCATGGCTGAACTTCTGTAGCTTGTGAGGTACTAACAACTTGCATGTAATACATGAAAAAAGAGACCCCCACGTAATCAGAGGCTTATATCCAGAAAACATTTAGCTGGTCTATTTTCAAGTTACCAACATATGGCCCTAGAGACAGACACGATGTAAAACATACACACCTTCATGAAAACTCTACCTCACCTCTCAACTCTCGTAAACACAAATAGTAACAAAATAACTTCTAGCTCAGTTTGACAAAACTTTACAGACTTGGCCCCTAATTAGAAAACAAATAAATAAAGGGGTGGTTCAAATGGAAAGGGAATAAGGAAAGCATGGGGTCTAGACTCTTGTTCTAAAGAGACATTCCTGGCACTTCGTCACAGCCAGTGGAAGAACCACCTACCGCCACCATCTGACGATGCTGTGTGACCTCTTCCGCCTCCAAACTTCCCAGCCCTGGTCAGAAAAGAGCTCAGCTCTTCACTTGAAAAGTCTCCCATAGTTCCCTGCATCCAGCTGCTACAGGGTTATTAGAAAATATAATACTTCACATAACTATATGCTGCTTTTTCCCTTGAAAACCTTGTATAGACATGTATTCACTTAATTAGGGTTGCAGAGGCATTGGAAAAATAAGCTCTTTGACCACAAAGGTGATACTACTGTTTGTCAGTAGAATGTGCTTTGGATTGTCTATGTTTAGTTTAGTTTGAGAGGAAATTGGTGAATGTGGATGGCTCAGCAAAACCCATCACAATCGCTAAAAAAATAAAGTGACCGGCTAGAGGTAAGATAGATTTTCTCTAAATGATAAATAACTGGCCTCCATGTGACTCGAGCCCTGAACCCTGGCCTCATTAGCACCAACACTCTGAAGAACAGTTGTGGCCCCACCCCCACCATCAGATTCAGTAGAGAGGCCCCTGGAATTTCACACAAGGTTCAGTCGTGGACAGCCCACTTCCATCAGTACACAGTGTGCACAACGACCATGAGGGAGGTAAATACTACTACTCCCCCGTAGGTGGAGGAAACAGAGGCCAAAGTGGTTAAAGATTCTGCCTGAAGCCCGAGTTAGGGGAAAAAAAAAAAAAAAAAAAAGAGAACTCAAGGAAGCCAACCCGTCACTCTTCATCTAGATGCTAGGAAAAGTTGTCACCAGGAATTCCTTCTCAGCCTCGCTTGCCACTCAGCAGGGCAGGCTCCACGGCAGATGATCCGTCACCATATCAGAAATACAAAGCCTACCTCTTTTTCCTTGGACAGTTATAAATAAGAAGTCACTAAAGTGCCTGGACAGGTACTTCTGAATTTACAGCTGATGTGAAGTGCCAAGTGGGCAGAGCCGGCAGGAAAGAATCCACACAAGTCAAATGGTGGACTAATGGGGTAGGTGGAGACATACATTTTCCCAAACACAATTTCACAGATCTGACGGATCCCCTCTGCATGTGAGACAGTGCTTCTGTCCCACGATCCTTGTAATGTCTCTGTACCACGTCACACAGTCACATCGGAATTACTGAAAGCACTGTTCACTAACACTTAATGTACCTGAATTCCAAAATGAACTGTATGGCTAATCTGGAAAAAAAAAAAAAAAAAAACCTGTACACACAGAAATATATCAAGTTTTCTTTCAAGAGAAAGTTCAGCCATAATTCCATTATATCCATGGCAACTATCGCCTGTTAATGCTCATGTTAGTGTGTAAAAATGTATTCGCTATATACAGAAAAGATTATCAAGTACTGGTCAATAAAGTGTATGGCTGACCCTGAGAATAAATTTTTGCTTACTCGAAATATTGATTAATACAAAATAAAATGAAATTGAAAGATGCCTATCCTCATACTTGGGAAGAAATGTCTTTAGAATGCTAACTCATATACACCTTAATAGATTTAAAGACATCCCAAAACACCAAACACTGTAACTGTATTGATATGTTTCCAAAAATATTCTGAAAGAATTTACAAAAAAGTAAATGTTAAAAGCAAGGCATTATGTGATACACAGCATGTAAATCTGGTTTTCAAGATAGTGTCTAAACACATTGATAAAACTATGTGATTGGTCATCAGTTGGCTGAAACAGCATCTTCATTGTCCGTACACACACATCCACACACATATGCACAAACCAAGAGAAACCAATCAACCTTGAAATTCTTAGTAATTGTACTGACGTGGGCAGGGCTGATGGACGACCCAGCCACTGTGCTTGACTTGCCTAGAGTGGCAGTCCCTGGTAAGATTTTGGCGACGAAGGCTATTTCTGTTTAAAGACTGTCTTTCACTATGTTCTTTTATCCACTGGGAAGGGCGAAAGCTCTTGGGTTGTTCCAGAAAAGCTGTATGAGCAGCAAGAGCTGCAACATAGCAGTGAATGTGCTGCCCCATCTCATCCTGAGCTTCCACTCTGAAACAGAAAAACACGAGGATGCATTCAGTAACAGAGTACGTTATTCATGAACTTGAAGAAGTTACTTAGTGATTCAATTTGCCACAGTGATTTGTGGTTGAAAGAGATCTTACTGTCTGATGGCTGACAAACAAGTTTATATTTTGTGACCACAATGACTGATAATGTTAGAAAGGAGAAGCCACCTTTTCACAGAAATATGCCATATAATCCACAGCGGGGGTTGGGGGGGATTAAGTAGACTGTCTTTTAAAAAGTGCTTTACATTTTGAGTGAATTTCAATTATGCAGCATTAGATAAGTTTTTCTGTGAGGAGAACTAACATTTACTGCATATCTGTATTTGCAAATATAACGTATTTAATTCTCGACATAATCTTAAAAGGAAAACATATTAATTCTCAAATTTTACTAATCAGGAAGCTGAGGCTCAACAACGATAAGGTCACAACTACTACCTCATACAACCAAGATTCTAATACAGGTCTTACTCCAAAGACTGTTATGAAGCAGGTTGACACTGGTGAACTATGCTAATTGCACCTTCACACGTTTTCTGTCTCTAAGTAACGGTTCCAGGAAATAAGCTGCAGATCTCTATGTAACAGAAATATGCATAGAAAATTCTACTCATTTAACATTTTTATAGATAAAAAGCTACCTGCTTACTATAAAATTTATATCACAACAGGGCACAGTTTGGAATGGCATTTGCATAGAAATGTTACAAAGACCTGAGGAGAACATATCTTAAAATCCGGCTACAAACCATGTGGTTATTATCTGTCTTATATATTAAAAGCTAATTTAATAGGATAGATGTAAACTAAATTAACACATAACATGAAGAGTTTTAAAAGTTTTAGGGTTATTTTACACAACACGGGCAGTTATAAATTGTGGCTATAATCACTAGAGGAAAATGCTATTATTTTTTAAAGATTTTTTAAAAAATAGTAGAATTAAAGGGGGTCACATTAAGAAACTAATAGAAAGAAGTTAATACAAAGACAGCAGTTTTTAAAAGGTGGGCATTTTGAGTTCTTAACCTTCCTGTTCAGACTGATAACACATATCACACAGTCTCAAAGGGAATATACTTACTCTGTGCCAGTGAGTCTTATAAGCAGCTTTTCCTGGCCCTACAAATGTTAAATGGCGAACTATTAAATCACTAGTAAGATTTAAAATGCTACTTAATTTTACTGTTAGGACATGGTGCATTTTCTATATTAAAACTGGCTTACTATGGGTCATTAAAGGCACATGTATTACTTGAGATTATGATAGCACATAAACCTTCATAAACAATACTTACAAAGGTCAAAATGCAATAAAACACACACTCTGAAGCCCATCTACTGTAATTATGAAGCACCTTATTCTTACATGCTTTATGTAATGCTTTATGGTAATATTCCCAAGGATACACAGGATGGAAGCAATCTAACTTCTGAAAGACATGATTTGTTTCCTGCTCAGAAAATACAGATATTTACTACATAGCCATCCTAATGTTGGTAACACCTGATCTATCTTGATTTAGTGGGCTTTTGTAAATAAGAATTTGAAATCCAGAAATAAAGATGTTAAAAACATTTAGTTTTTATAAAACTAAGATAGTTTGCAGTACTTTCCTATGTTAAGAAAGAATTCATATAAAGGTAAGGGTATTCTTTTGATCCTATATATATGGAAAAGCACGTATTTGTTTAACTTTCTTACATGTTATACCAAAACATATAACAAGATATAAAAACAAACAAGACACAGGCAATGAACATAATGACTGCATCAAAACCTCAAACACATAACCAGACGCAGCGCATGGTCTTGGACTGGATGCTTGTCTGGGCAAACTAGGTGAAATATTCTGGGCTCTGGTGCAGAAAACAGAGTATAGTTTGGGTAGTAGATGAAATGAAATTTTACTGGGAAAAAAAAAGGTAGAGACCGTTGCCTAAAGAAGCAGATTACACAACTATATACGAGTATATACAACTTGATCCCTTTAGGTTAAAAATGTGTGTGTGTGTGTGTGTGCACACGTGTACAAACTTGTGGGCATATAGAGAAAAAACCACCTGGAAGGATACACTCTAGGGTGTTAACAGTATCCATCTCTAGGTAGTACAAGTGTCTTTTTAAATTTTTAAACTTTTACATATTTGCATTTTCTAACTTCCTGCAATGCATATGTACTGCTTCTGTAATAATGTTATTTATAAAGTGCTGTATATACATACACACATGCTTTAAACACTGAGAAGTAAGTACACAAATCCCAGTAAGTTTATAGTGACTATTAATCATGGGAAACTCTTGAGTCCAATTCCACAGAGGTGAGATCAGAACCAGGTGGGAAGGATTTCTAAGAACTGAAGAAATTAATTTGAATAGACTATATGGCAATTTAATCAATACCATGTCTAAAAAATCTTATTTTAAATTTTTGTTGAAATGCCTGAGACACTGATCTCTTGATAAACCTACAGCATTGAACAAAGTGCCAGTTAAAGTAACATTTCCCATCAAAGATCTTACCCAGTATAAAGCCTGGGTAACTATATAAGCAAATTATTTTTCAATTTGGTAAAGGATATGTTTATCCTCATAGAAGATGACGAGATTATCTACAATATTAAGACTTATGAGTGCAGCAAACTCTGGTAAAGTTAAATTAATGAGCTGCCTGGGTTTTGTTTATTATCTGGCAAACAGGAAATAGTAGAAGATATATACAATGATCCAGTTAGTCAAGGTAGAGCCTGGACAATCTAAAAAGAGGCCCTTTGGATTACAGGACTAACTACAGGAACATTCTGAGCTGCTCCAAAGATTCCAATTCACCTGTAGCCTTGACAGGTATTTAGGGAATTAAGTCGGTACCAACATCACCAAAACATCGTAATACCACAGGCACAGCCCACTACCATGCATCATGACTAGCCAGAATTCGAGCTGATTAACAAGGCCATAGACTTTATTTTAGCAGGTGGGAGCAATCTTGAAAATGCTCGCTGGATAAAGGTGACAGTATTTCTGTAAGTTTGCTTGGGAACATATCAATCTTTACTGGCAAGGTACTCTCTCCCTGAACCTTTCCAAGCCCTCAACCCATCTGCCATTCAAACAGAGCCTTTCAGACCCCTTGAACTCCACACAACAAAAAAGTATTGTTTGGGTATGAAGCCTTTCCTCTGTAAGACAGAAAACTCATACTTGAGATCTGCCAGGTTTTTGAGGTTAAGTGCCATTTGATGCAACCCAGCTAAGACCACTTGGAAGAAAATAAGAGTTTTATTTTAAGATATACTATTCTTGTTGAATTTGATACACCAAATAACTCAGTGTATAAAGTGCCAGAGTTATATTCTAAGACACTTAGCAGAAATGCTAGTCTTTTCTTTCTGGTCACCAGCAGAGTACTGGTGTGTGTGTGTGTGTGTGTGTGTGTGTGTGTGTGTATTTAATGTTTATTTATTTTTGAGAGACAGAGACAGACAGTGGAGGGGTGGGGGCAGAGAGAGAAGGAGACACAGAATCTGAAGGAGGCTCCAGGCTCTGAGCTGTCAGCACAGAGCCCGACGCGGGGCTCGAACTCACAGACCGTGAGATCATGACCTGAGCCGAAGTCGGCCGGCCACTTAACCGACTGAGCCACCCAGCCGCCCCAACCAGCAGAGTACTATAAATCAACAGTTCTGCATTATATAATTGGGGCTGTGTTCTAATGAATTTTTTTGAAAATGTAAAATGAACACTTTTTTTTATACCATCTACTACCTTGTGCACTATAGACATGCCTTCATAAATCTCTAATATTACTCTGCATCTTCTAAAAAATTAGCTTCAAGTTGTAGTAGAAACAAATAAAATGCATGCCAAACAGACTGCCCATGGACAGAATAAAATACAGTTGGCCCCTGAGCAACTCAGGGGTTAGGGGCACCAGCCCCTGTACAGTTCAAAATCTATGTACAACTTTGGACTCCCCAAAAACTTAACTGCGAACAGCCTACTGCTGACTGGGAAGCTTACCAATAACATTAACAGCCAATTAACACATATTTTGCATGTTATATGTATTACCTGCTGTGTGCTTACAATAAAGTAAGCCAGAGAAAAGAAAATGTTAAGAAAACCATAAGGAACAGAAAATACATTTACAGTACTGTACTGTGTTCATAAAAAAAAAAAAAAAAGAAAGAAAAAAAAGAAAAAAAAAAGAAAAACAACTCTGTGTATAAGTACACCCATGCGGTTCAAACCCACGTTGTACAAGGGTCAGCTGCACTTACAACGTACCTGGGGCTACTTGGGTTATGAAATTCATCAGCCCCACAGCTGGCCTCACTGACAGCAGGGCAGGAGTTATGCACAGCATAGACAGACATGCTGGGATGTTCGATGAGAAGGTTTTCCATAGGACTGGTTTCGACCTTGAGAGTGGTTAATCCACCTGCAGTAAAACATGGGGGAGGGGTGATAAACCAGCTCTCCTCCATCGGACAGGACTCAAATTGGAGGAAGCAGGAATCGCTTGTATCAGCCAAGCACTCAAGAGATGCAGGTAAACAGGAAAAGACTGAAGGGTGCTCAGTAGGTGACTCTTCACTGATGTCTTCTTCTTCATCTTCTGCTGCTGAGAAACCAGTGCAAGTGTCTACATCACAGTCCACATACGTTGGTGAAGTCCCACGGGAGGACGGGCATCACAATGACAGCAGATTGAGAGCACAGAAAAAGAAGAGATGATACTGTTAGCTGATGTTCACATTTCTCCTTTCATTTAGGTCAGACACAAAAGCATTTACATTCACTCAATGATTATGAAAGAACTTCTGAGCACCTAGTGTGTGTGTATGTGTGGTGTATCACTGCATCAGATGTATTACGGTGGCTTTGCAGGAGACGATTTTTCTATCCTGCTAAAGTAAACATGATGAGCAATGTGGGTTACAAGGATTTCCTATTAAAGTGCATCTGATCTGAGCAGGGTATGAGAGTTGCAAAACTGGAAGATCTGACGTCAATCAATTTCACTGACTGATTATCTGGCACAGGATGTTTCCTGCAATTATTTTAGACAAATTCTTGCTTATTTACTTTAAAGGCTTAAAAACCTTCAGAGTTACTGGTTTACTTCTGGAAAAACTAAGATGCAAGAGTTTCCATTTTTGCTGTGATGATTAACCACTGAGAATACCTTACCTATGAAGTCAACAAGAATCCATTCATCATCTTCTTTCTCACTAAATTCTGGTTCTTGATTGGAAGAAGTATTGACTTCACCCACAAACATTTTATTCAGTCTCTGGAACATCGTTAAGGCAAGATTGAGACTTTGGCGGGATGTCTTTATAGCTGAGATTTCAAAACACTGTCTTCAGTCAGCCTGATGGCACGACAGGAGATTAAAGTGCACGAGGTGCTTATTCAACTTAGGTGGGAAGCAAGAAGAATCATTATCCCTAAAATAAAACAGGAAAAGAAGGTTATTTCAAATCAGTATATATTTATATAATATGTGTGTGTGGTTTTCAAAGCATGTGCCCACACACATACGTGCACACCCCTCTAGAAGAAAGCTCATGCCTTAGTCTACAATTACAGCCGTTCCCTTCCGGCAGGCATCAAACACAAGAAATGCAGTACCTTTCATCTATAAACCATTATGAATTGAGTTCTCAATGCAACCTGTGAACATCTTACATGTGAAATGAAAGGCTCTTTTCCACATCTGTGCTTTTATAAGGGATCAATCTGAATTATGTATTTCAAGGTGACATACTCCTTTCCTGTAAGAAGAGAAAAGCTAGATACTAACGGTCTTGCTATATGATATTCAACTGCCCCGAAGCTGCCAGAGGAAGGCTGCAGCAGGACCAGATGTCTGCCATGTTTCCCTGGCTCGTTTTCTCTTCTGTTCTGTTCTTCTACAGGGCTGCAAGCAGACCCAATTCCATTTAAAATCAGTAGGTACAGCATGATTTGGCCTTCAAAACAATTTCTACAGCTGGCACAGGGAAATTTATACCGTAGAAAACTGAGGACGACAGCAACTAGAACTGGAAACCATTCACCGCGTGGTGGCAAGCAGGAAGGTGTTGTAGTCAGTGTGCCTGGCTTCAAATGCCGTCTCTGCTGCTTACGCTCTGCGCGAGTTAGGAAGTTACACTACTTCAGCTGGCAATAGTTCTACCTCATGGAGTTCTGTGAGTTCTAAATGAGGAACTCCAGGCTTGTCTGATCTTATTCCAGAAATCCAGATTTATATATCCATTTCTCCCTGGTTACTTGATAGGCATATCAATCCTAACACATACCAAAGAGAACTTTTAATTATTTCCCCACAAACTTACACTGTCCTTCTTTCTCTTCTCAGCAAGGAGAAGCAGCAGCACCCAGCGGTTACCCTTGACTCCTTCCACTCCCTACCCAACCCCTCAACCAAATTCTCACCAAGTCCTGTTGACTCTAGCTGAGCACGTGCCTCAAATCTGCCCACTTCTTGCCACCACTTTTATCCTAGTTGAAACCAATCTGGTGTCCCTTTGGACTTTGCCAATCACCACCTCCTAGATGGTCTCCCTGACCCCACTCTTGTGAAATGAGATAATGCAGGCAACCTACTTAGCAAGGCACTTGGCACAAATTCTCAGTCAGTGTCAACTATTATTCTACAAATATTTACTGAGTACGTATCATGCATCAAGCAGAGTGCTAAGCACAGGGGAAGACAGGTAATGTGATGAATGCCATGGAAAAAGTACTGAGTGTTCCTCAGATCTACACAGGTAGACGTCAGGAAGGATTCCTGCAGTAGATTACTTTGATCTGGAGTGGTTGAGAAGATCAAGAATGGAGGAAGGGGGAGAAGGAACACCAGAAACCTGCAGATGAGTGAGAATGTGGCACCTTCTGTATGGCTGAAGATCCAGATGTACAGGTGTGCGAGTGCGCTAGGGGTGCTAAGCAGGAAACAGATCCTGTAGGACCATGTAAGCCAGAAATGAAAAGTCAAGGATGACCCAGGTTTATGGCTTGGCCAACTGGGGAGATGGCGGGACCATTTAGTGGAAGAGGCATACTGCAGAAGGCGTAGGCTGGGCATCTTGGACATGCTGAATTTGGGAATCTGCAAGTCAAGAACCTGGAGATGTCTAGTAGACTGCTGGATATAGGGCTCTGGAGTTCAAGGGCATGGTCTCAGCTGGGGGCACTGATTTGGGAGTTGTCAACAAAAGGGAGTGACAGAAACCATGAGTAGATGAGACCATCCAGGGATAGTGAAAAGCATCTTCCTAAATGATACTCTTTCTCACCAGCATCAGCCTTGAATCTAACTTCAGACTCTTGACATTTCACTTTCTTTTATTTATTTATTTATTTATTTTGAGAGAGAGAGAGAGACAGAAGGCGAGCACACACACAAGCGTGTGTATGCACACGAGTGGGGGAGGGGCAGAGAGCAAGGAGACAGAATCTTAAGTAGGCTCCACTCTCAGTACAGAGTCTGATGCGGGGCTTGATATCACGACTCTGAAATCATGACCTGAGTCAAAATCAAGAGCTGGATGCTCAAGCAAAGGAGCCACCCAGGCGCCACGACCCTTCACTTTCAAACAATCATCATTTTTAGCAGTACATGTAGTTACAATCCGTATTTGATGAGATTCTTGGTTGAATGCTTTATGTGCAAATGGGAATGCTACAACTGTTTGGCATGCTACTACGAATGTGTAATACTACGAGTGTGTGTTCAAATAAATGACATCTGAGCACTGTTGTGGTCACAATCCATCATCATCAGCCATTAATTATTAAAAGAGAGTCAACAGGAAATGTTACTTGCATAACCAGTCTTCCTGAAAGCCTTCTGGAAAGCAGCAGGGCCAAACCATGAAGGCTGGAGCTCTAGTACAGAATTCAAATTCAGCTTTATGTTCCATGTAAAAGAAATTAGGAGAAAAGTGGGCTTGTGTAGTTTGCTGGACCTACTGTAGTGTAGGTGATGAGCTACCACAAGTTCTGACGTATGTAAAGGTTTTGAGCACGTTAAGCGAGGAGGGAAAAAAAGATACTTAAAAAATCCCCCCTTATCTTAAATTACAAAGGCATACATTGGTCCCAGGTACAATTCTGTGTGTGCTGAAATAGTTGAGAGAATAATCCCAATTCTCCAGAGTATAGGGCTGACTGCAGGCCCTGGATCAGCTAGGAAGGCAGAGCTGCTGGGCAGGAAGCAGAGCACCTCACAAGAAAACCCTTGCTCATCCTGAATGAGCACCTTGTCCCCCAAGAGCGATGCCACACCAGGGTAACTTAACAGGGCCCAGGCCAGTTAGGTGGCAGCGAGAAGGCAGAGAACAATGCTGGGGCCACGTGGTCGGGCAGCTAGCTGCAGGTTCCTGACTGCAAATTGCGCTCCTCTAGCTCCAGCTCCAAACCCATGTGATGGAAGCCAGCTTACGCCTGGAACATATACAATTCTGCCACAGGAAAGGTGTCTCTGGAGGAACTTTCCACAGGGCAGCACAAGTCAATCTTCTTTTGGTTTCCCGAAGTAGTGGCTGCCTTAAGATATCCCCTATTTCCTGCAAGAGCAACCATCCGTGGGTGGGCAGAGTATTCAGGAGCCCAGCCAGGCAAGGGAAGAGCTCATTCTCATCTGTCCTGAGTCAGAGCTGGTATTTACATGACACACCTTTTGAAGCCTGAGGGCAGGACACAGAGTCGTCTTAGGGAAGGAGTGCTGGCCTGGGCCCCAGCGGCTTTCCCCCTACCACAGGTGGCTCAGACTAAACAATTTAGCCCTCCTGAGCCTCAGTCTTACCACTGGAAAAATGGATCACATCTTTACTCTCTCCACAGACCTCTAGCACAATGAAGAAATGGGGTTGGGCTAACTATGCAAAGTTCCTTTACCCTGCTTTCTGTAGGTGTCACAAAGGACAAGGAGCTGTTGGGAGAGACCCCAACATGCTAGAACGGTTCATGAGATGGCTGCAAGGCACCCTGGGTGGATGAACACTTGAAATATGACTTGTATGACCAAAAAACTGAATTTCAAATTTTATTTAATTTTAACCCATTTAAAATTCAAATTTGGAAGTTGACAATTGAGCTATTTTTGGAAAAATTTCAAGTATGTTCAGAACAATTGATTAAGCATGTCCAATGAAATTTTTATATGTGAATTAAGATGTGATATAGGTTAAAATATATACTAGAGTATATTTAAAATTTTTTTAAATCTTTATTTATTTTTGGGAGAGAGACAGAGTGTGAGCAGGGGAGGAGCAGAGAGAGAGGGAGGCACAGAATCAGAAGCAGGCTCCAGGCCCTGAGCTGTCAGCACAGAGCCCGATGTGGGGCTCAAACTCACGAACCGTGAAATCATGACCTGAGCCAAAGTTGGATGCTCAACCGACTGAGCCACCCAGGCGCCCCTACCAGAGTATATTTTAAAGACTTAATACCCCCTCAGGGTGCGTAGGTGGCTCAGCTGGTTAAGCAGCCAACTCTTGTTTTTTGGCTCAGGTTCTCACAGTTTGTGAGTTGAAGCCCCACATAGGGTCTGCACAGATAGCATGGAGCCTGCTTGGGATTCTCTCTTTCCCCCCTCTCTCTGCCCCTCCCCCTCCCTCTACTCTCAAAATAAAGAAATATTTTTAAAAATTTAAACATACATGTAATTCACATTACATATTATATTGGACAATGCAGTTCTAGAAAAATCTCTCCAGAATCTTGAGAGCCTATCCTGCTGATGACCCAGGGACCGTCCCTCTCCAGTCACTGCTATTCTTCACCTTGGCTCCTGCCCAGGAATGGAGGCTCTTGATGGGCCTGGTTCTATGTGAAGCCGTAAGTCAAAGCAGAACTTCAGACTTCAGTCCTCACTACATGTCACAGACTTTTAAAAAAATTTTAAGTTTTTAAAAGGTAAACCCCCAACATGGGGCTCAAACTCATCCTGAGATCCAGTTGGATGCTCTACTGGACTGCAGCCAGCCAGTTACCCCTGTTGTGGACTTGTTGATATTTACAACTCTAGGGCAATGGATAAAACTAAAATGAAAATTCCAGAAAAAGAAGGTGTCCTAAGAGGACGAATTTACAGATAAAATTCTGGAATTCAGCAAAGAGGGAGGGGCAAAGAAGACTGGTAAGGTAGTACTGCTGTTTGAGGCATGTGCAAGCTTTCCACACCATAACTAACCAACATCAGCCAACTTGCCAGGGCAGTTTCATCCCAGTGGAGAAAAGAAACAAAGTATCTGGGCACCAGCATTTTAAGAAGGCAGCTTTGTCCCTGTCACACATACACGTCTTTTTCCTTATAAAATTAACTACATTATAGGAAGTTTGGAAAATAACGAAGGAAAACAATTATTCCACTGCCTTGTTACAATCACTGTTGGTGTATTATGCATTTCCTTCTAGCTTCTTCTACACATAAGGTTTCTTTTTACCATAAAGTCTAGTGAAGACACAATGCTGTTTCCTGATTTGTTACTTAACATTTTATCATTGTTTTTCATATTATTACATGAGTTAGAAATGCTCAGTGGGCAGAAAGGTGGTTTAATACCTTTAAGTTTAATACTTAAGAGGAAGAGCATTCTAGTTCGAGAACTCAGAAAAGGCGTTGCTAGTCTAGAAGAGCTTGTTAGTATAATTTATCTTATTTTTGAGACAGGCAAACAACCAACAGGCAGTGTGGCTCTGGAGTTACCCTGCTGTGTATGAAATCTTGGCTATGCTACTTGCAACTTGTATGAAGTTAAGATATTTAGTAACCTTTTGGTGCCTCAGTTTTTTCATCCCTAAAATGGAGAAGATAGTGCCAATGTGAGGATTAAGTGTGTATCCCTTAGAATAGAGCCTGCCACATAGCAGGCAGCCAGTAAGTATTAACTCAGAATATGAAATATAACTTGGAATATTTAACTCCATTCCACGCCAGCTGTGTGACTGTAAGCCATTTAGCATCTTTGGGTCAGAATGCCTTTATCTACAAAATGTTTATATAATAATTACAGCTACAATCTACTGAATACTTGTGATATATAACAGTGAGTTGAGGTACTTATTTGTCACATTTTACTAATAAGGAAACTAGGCTCAGAAATTAAGTAACTTGCTTGAGAGTGATAAAGCTGGTCAGGTGTGGAGCCAGCAATAGAGCATAAGTCTGTGTGGTTCCAAGTGTCTTGCTTTTCCCTGCACATCATTTTGCTCAGGCTCCTTTCAGCCTCAACTCCGGCTCTATGAATTTCAGAGAACAGTGCTTTTCAGTTGGTTTTGGCTGCCAGTAGGCGGCTCCAAAAACAACATTTTTAAATTAAAAAAAAAAAAAAAAACAACAACCCACAACTTTGATGATCTAACTTCGAACTATGTGTACAGTTGTGGCTTCTTGACAGTTTCGAAATATCAGGTGGCTGAACTAACACGTCTTCACTGAAAAGCAGCCTCAAAATGATTTTTCTCTTTATATCCCACCCTCCCTATTTTAGAAAAATAAATACGCTCATTCAATTTAAAATTGATTTTAAGCTGCAGAAAAACCAAGCCAAGAAAGCTGCCCTTGCTTGCTCCACTCCTACTCCGCCTATTCAACTGGTCATAGGGAGCTTTTCCTCTCCGGGACCCACCGCTGTCTGCCCTGAAGGCTGAATGCCAGGGGACAAAGACAGCAATAAGCGGTAACTCCTAGCCCGTTAACCTCAAATTTTGAAAGTAGGACCATTCCCAAGAGAAACAGGAGGGAACAACTGAGTGAGCAAGCAAGCATTCACAGAAAAGAACAAAACAAGGGATGAAAAAACAAAAGAGACCTTGGTCATAGAAATTAATGAGGTCTTGGTTCCAGATAGGAGCTCTTAAAAATTATGCTGCACATTCAGAATTATAGTGGCTGTGACTTAAAAATCAAAAGCTTCCCAGGGATTTTCACATCTGCAATGAAAAATGTATTTCAATTACCACGCAAATGATTTCAGGATCTGGGGGTACCTCATTATTACGACTGTTCAATGACCCTATGGGTCACTTTCTCCTCCCCTTTTCGGAAACTACTCTGCATTCAGAAAAGGCTCTTTTAGCAACAAATGCCCAAGTTCTTGGAAGTTACAGATGGAAAGGGGCTCTTCCTTAACCCACTCTAATTTGGAATTGGCACAGAAGATGACGAAAGAGGTAATTGCGAAATACAATACAAAATGAGGAATGCCCACATATAAATTCATCTGCAACTTTGAAAGAGAAAACACCGTTTCCTTTTAATTGGCTGTGTGGCCTCGAGTAAAATAACAATCTCTCTGGGCCTCGGGTTTCCTATCCACAAGATAATAAAGCCTACTTCAGAGGGTCTCTGCGAGGAGCAACGGAGATAATGCACGTAAAGCCCTCGATGTCGTATCTGGCACAGAGTAAGGTCCCAATCGGCGTCAGCGACCAAAACGATTAGGATTTTACTCCTGACGGGCAAGTACAGTGTCCTTTCCACAGGTGCAATCTCATAGTGATGTGTAAGATCAGGCAGGGTCAGGGGACAGGCGGCGGATAGGCGGACACCTGGGACACTTAGGCGCTGGTCGCCGGGCAAGAAAGGGGGGTTCCCCGGCGCCGCAGGACCCTTGGTGCTACCGGGAGCGAGCCGGTGCCGCGAGGGCTGGCGGAAGAAGCGAGGAGCACAGGGCCGCCGGGCCAGCGGAGCGGGGCGCCGAGGTCGCTCCTCCCGCAGCCCCCGACGCCAGTCCAACGGCCGAGTGCTGGAGCAGGAGGAGGAGGAGGAGTAAGGGGAGGAGGAGGTCCCGCCGCGGCCAAGAAAACAGGCCAAGCTCGCGGGAGGAGACAGAAACTGAACACCCACCCGCCGCCCAGCGCCGGGCTCGTCCGCCTCCGCCCGCACCCGGGGCCTCGGGCCGGCCGCCGCCAGGGGAGGAGGCGGGAGGCGCGGAGGGTGCCCGGCCCGAGGCCCGCGGGACGGCGGGAG